GCATATGAACACCATTGCCAATAAGTAATAAAAGAATATTTCATTTTGGATCAAATTAATGTGTTAAATTACCAGTGTGACATGTCGGCATTTTGTAAGAAACAACTACAATCCAAATTCCGAAAAATGATGTAAAGTATTGAAGCAATGCTATAGTTTGAGCATCACTGGCAGTGACCAACATATAAAAAATGACCTAAATATTTCTGTATACAAACCATCTCATCATAACATTCTAAATGTCAATAAATAATGAAGCTTTCCAAGGATTAGTGTAGTCACATATATACAGACCTGTCAGGTAGGCTTATTGTTCCGTTTTCACATTTTGGTAAATAAAGTGAACAGAGCAATGGTTGTATCAATTGCCAACATTTTGGTACACTTCTAAGACCTGTATAATAAATGGTTACAGTAACTTGCACTGTCAGAAGAATACTATAATATTCTAGTTAAGTATGAAACCAAAACCTATATTTTACATCCATAGTGTACATTGTAGTATCTACCGGTATATATGATATCTATAAAAATTGTGTTCAATTATTTTGCTAGATTATTCAGTGCAAAAAGAATGATCAATTTCAATCATCTAACAGAAGAATGTTCATTCCATTGCACACCATTGATGTGCAAAAGTTTTTTCTAAAATAGGTGCCTTGCCCAACACACAGATGTAATAATGAATGAAACAATAGTCTCCTTGTGGGACCAGAAACTTGTCTACGATGAAGATTGCACCAATGTTTCAAAAACATAGCAGACAAAGGAGGCATTTTCAATAAAGAAACATATCTCAAACATGATATTGTTACATTCAAACCTCAAAAACAACAAGGTTATTTAAAATAAACATACCGGACCAAAGAAGCAATTTTTTTCTTGCATCATCCAAAGTTGATGAATCAGTAACCAAGTCTATAGAAGTGTGACTGTAATCCAAAGGAGCTCCAAAACAATCCGTTCCATTCAGTGGAACACATTCTCCTGATACTGGCTTATAGCATGCTTCAGGCACAGGAATAAGTTCCAGGAGGGCATCCATAATGAGACACTACTGTTATGCCAAGACTACATTATGGAACTTACTTCATAAAGTCTGTTAAGTCAAAAAGTTACAGTGCTCAATTTTGAAATTAGTTACAGTAAAATTATCTGATACATCTTCATCTTGATATCAATTGAAATTTGTGCAAAAATATAAATCTAATATAAAAAATATAAAGTTAAAAAAGTCTCGCTGTAAAGAGATACAATGTAACAATCCACAAAATGACAGAGTCATTGGGAAACTGGTAAATGAACATAACATAAGCCAGCTGTATGACAGATACATCATAAAAAATGGGGTCTCATGAAGTACGTGCCCGCAAGACTTCTAGTGGACGTAGCATAATGATTTTTGCATATAATATTCCTAACCCCCACCTGAGAAAGTCGTCCAAAAATTATGTCACTGCGCCATCATAATCACGTCATAGAGCTTGCAAAAGTATAGCTTCGATCGTCCGAAATGGCATCTGTGCCGACTATAATAACTCACTAATGCCAGCAATCTCTCTCTTATCGGTATCGTTACGAGAAAACGAGAGAAATAGCTTGCTTGATTTCGGATGATTGTCTGTGTCTTTTAGACCGTATACTTGGAGGGCCTTATTACGTCACTGCGACTTTGCAGTGATGTAATTTATGATGGCGTAGTCAGGTGGGGGCTAGGAATGACATATGCAAAATTGTTGAGCCAGGCCAACTAGAAGTACTTGTGGGCATGTACTTCAGAAAATGTTAATTAAAATTAACCATGAACAAATATGGAAAAATCGACAATGAAAAATAGTAACCTACAACTATTTAGACTTAGAATATAAAACAGAAGCTACATAGATTGTAAATCCAAATAGCTTAAAATTTAGTGCAAAATTCAAAAGCACATGTTCAGTGCCAGAGATCCCCAACACTCATAATCCTTATCAGTCATTCTTTCTATAACTCTCCAAGTATTCTCAGTGGGATCCATTTCTTCTATTGTGTCATCAGAACTCTCACCTCCAACAGCATAAATTTTTCCCTTGATAACGCAAGCTCTAAATGATCCCCTGACAATGTTTAAATCGGGAACTCTGGTCCACATCTCAGTAACTGTATCTAGGCATTCAACGACATTAAGTTCACCTTCTTCGTAAGTCCAACCACCAATCACATAAATCTTCCCATCGAATTTCTGCGGGTGCTGCGCCATATCTCTTAGTGGGCATTCTTGGAATAGTGGTCCATTCAGAAAGCACTGGGTCAAATTTCGCAGAATTGATTGTAATGTGTCCACCGATGACATAAATATAATTCTTCACTGCTATAATGGCAGTGAGGGAATGTGCAACTGGCTGAGGTCTATCTGTCGCATATGACCAGATTCTAGATAATATATCAAACTTTTCTACAATTGAGGATCCTTCTCCAGAATCTTCAAATAAATAGATAATATTGTCAACAACAGCCGGTTGTAACTCTATTATCTGTTAAACTACGACATGGAAGTTGATCCCAGCTGGGATTTGGTGCAGTATAATCCAATGTATAATTACAGCTATTCATTTCGAACACATAAATGATGTCATTAATCAGTGCAGTAGAAAACACATGATCATTAAACTCATCACTAACATCACACAATTTTGTCCAAGATTTTTGTTGCGGATGGAAGCATTGGATAGATTTTGATGGCGTATCAAATATTGCAATTACATTGTCGCTCTCATCAACATCAGATTCAAAATTAATATCTTTTGCTTCAACATTACATTGTTTAAACATGCGAGATTGAAGAAGTTTATCCATGCATTGAAGCCGAATTGAGCAACAAAGAATCCTTTTCCAGCATATACATTCGATATTGCAAAGGCATTTTTCCTAAATTAAGTTTACAAAAAAGCTTCACAAAATGTTGATTTTCGTGCTTCAATGTCAAATTTTGTCCAAATCATCAATGCTTTACACTTGGCAGCTTCAGAAGCCTTCGTATTTTTTGATTCAATCAGAAATGAAAAGATATTTATACTCGAAAAACTTGAAATCATCCAGTCTGACAATGGACAGAAAATTTGCTTGTGCATACTCTTTACAATTTTCAATCAATTTGGCTGAATTAAAAACTCAGCAATATCTTTAGTTGAATGGAAAGAAAATGGAGTTAGTTCTTTCGCAAGAAAATCAAAAATACCATCACAAATCTTCTGCAATTGCATCATATTGGCGGTGTTTAAAACTTGTTCAATATTTTCTTTGGTGATGAGAAGTTTTCCAGAATAAATGTAGTCAATACATTTTTTTACCGACACAGGACATATATGTTTCATTTCAACAAAACCTGACTGAGCTTCAGAAGTATCATGAGAAAGCATTGCTTTAAAATAATCGGATCCTGCTGACAATACATTTTTATGAGCTGGAAATTCTTCTGATTCAACTTTTATCATAAAATCACACATCTGTTTGTTTTTCCTCATTTCATCAAGGTTTTCTAGTATTGTTACAGCGTGTGACATGTGATCTAAGTCAACGGAATATTCCATTATAGCCTAAGTATTTAGATACAAAGATGCAGAAACTGACTGAAATACATGCAGAAATGTAACAGTTTTTAATTTGGACTTGAAACATGTAAAAAGAATATTGCTATTGCATGGAAACTCATTACTGCATTACAGCATTATGATTTCTGATTACAGACATCACAGCATCAGGACATCAAGCAGTCATGCACATGTGGTAGCCCAGACAAATAATGGTAGTTAAGGAATCAGCACTTCTTGATATCTGAATATTTATGGCATGTATGGTAGGCCTAGTTGAGTTAATTCAGAAATAAGGTTTAAAAATTTTCCACCAGATTAACTAATGGTGGGGGTCTCGTATAGTTTAGAACCACATCCACTTCTAGTTGGCCTGGCTCAACAATTTTTGCATATGTCAATCCTAACCCCCACCTGACTACGTCACCGAAAAATTACGTCATTTGGACGGCACAGTGGCGTAATAGGACCCACCAAAGTATGCGGATGGTCGTCCAATACGCGCATACGATCACCCGAATTCGAGCAAGGTATTTCTCTCGTTTTTTCGTCACAACGATCACCATAGGAAAGAGATCGCCGGCGTTAGCGAGTTCGTTATCGGCGGCGCAGATGCCATTTCGGGCGATTGTAACTATACTTTGGCAAGCCATATGACGTGATGGTGAATGGTGATGTCGTAGTGACGTAATTTTTGGATGGCATAGTCAGGTCTGCAGGTGGGGGTTAGGAATAACATATGCAAAATTCGTTGTGCTACACCTACTGGAAGTACTTGTGGTACTAAACTATACTAGACCCAATGGTAGTTGAAGATTTAAGCAATTCTTGATAGATAAGGTAAGTTTATTTCGACTCCATATTCAGCATAAAAAGCGATTTATTGATTGATAAAAACAAATAAATAAAAACTGATTATGAAATCAGGAGAGCAAACAAAATCTTGGATAAGGTTTGAAACCTACTTAATACAGGAATATAAGATGGAAGGTTTTTGCCAAAAAGAAGTGGTAGGCCTAGGTCTGTAGGTGTTCACTCACCTAACATTATGAGGAGGGTTGGTAGCATAAAAGTCATATTGGGGATGGCAAAATAGGGATGGCGAAATACGGTCGAAAGGTGGCAGATTAGGGATGGCGAAATAGGGTCGAAAAGCCAAATTGGGGATGGCAAAATGCGGTCGAATGGTGGCAGATTAGGGATGGCAAAATGCGGTCGAAGCGTGGTGGCAGATTAGGGAATGCAAAATGCGGTCAATGAGTGTCAGTTTTTGCTAAATCGACTGTCATAATGCGCTGTTTAGTATACAGATAACAATAAACAATTGCCTCAAAATTACAAAGAAATATGGCCAAAGTGTTTAGATTTGGGGCTGATGAAATGGATTAGTACCTGTCAAATTTGGGCTGGGAAAACACAGTCGATGAGTGTCAAAATGGGATGGCGAAATGGGGTCGAAGCGTGGCAGATTAGGGATGGCGAAATGCGGTCGAATCGTGGCAGATTAGGGATGGCGAAATGCGGTCGAAGCGTGGTGGCAGATTAGGGATGGCAAAATGCGGTCGAAGCGTGGTGGCAGATTAGGGATGGCGAAATACGGTCGAAGCGTGGCAGATTAGGGATGGCAAAATGCGGTCGAAGCGTGGTGGCAGATTAGGTATGGCGAAATACGGTCGAAGCGTGGCAGGTTAGGGATGGCAAAATACGGTCGAAGCGTGACAGATTAGGGATGGCGAAATGCGGACGAAGCGTGTCAAATTGAGGGTGGCGAAATAGGGTCGATTCCTGTCAGGTTAGAGAGGATGAAATATGGTCGATGCGTGTCAGATTAGGAAGGGCGAAATAGGGCAGTGGGTTGACGGGTGTCATGTTAAGGATGGCGAAATGCGTGTCAGATTTGGAAACGAACATTGCCAAATTTAAGGAACTAATCTGATCAGTGTTTCACATTTTAAAATTCATTTAAAAGGTATTGTCCGATTTTCCATCGTGTCTTTATTTTATGATTAATTTTAATGTTTTATATATTATTACATTTTTCTCATCAAGTCTTGAACATTTTTTTTATATTTTTCTGATTAATAATTTTAATACAATCTTTTAATGTTTAATATATTATTACGTTTCTCTCATCAAGTTTTGGGTACTCCTGAAGTATGCGCACCAAGATGTCGCACAACCTGAACCCTAACCTGGTACACAACCTGAGTTCAGGTTGTGCGCCAGCTTGTTGCGCATATTTCAAGAGGTCTGCATTGGCTGGCATAGCATTGTGGATCGTGCCTTCATTTATGAGGTCATATGTTTTATCTCTTTCGTCATGGAAATTTCAATTTTTCCCTGGTATTATTGTCTCTACTCATTCTCCGTGTTTCGTTAATTTCCATTCTCAAAATTTCTTTCGAAGTTAATTGGTTTTATAATTTGAATATAACCTTTTGATGTAAAGATGTGTTCGATATATTATGCTATAAAATGATTTTTATGATATTGGGTGAATTCCTATCTAGAGGAGAGTCTTTGAATAGGAATATACGTTGTAGTATTACTCACTTTTGTATAATATTATTCATGAAAACGCGACAAACTATTTGAACTGCGTAAAAATGAAAATGCGACTTTTGTATAACACTGGCAAAGAATCTACAAAAGGCAAGGTAATTAACATAGGGATTTTGGTATAAACAGTTCAAAAACCAACTAATAGAAGATTTCAACACAAAATGTTGGAAACCACCAAATTCATCCATTTTATCGTTTTTCAGAAAGAAAATGTCGAAGACTAGTTTGACTTTTTAGGAATCTTCTTGCATGCTTTACTTCTTGAGGAACATAATTACCATTACTTGGTACAAAATCCAACCCATGTCTTACTGGATAGCGAATGAGCAACTTATAAATTAATGTGTTACGTGTAACGCAAGTCTTGTTCTCTGTTGCAATTGAATTCCAAGGAAAGACGCATTTGCGACGAATTTTTCGTGCTGTTTGGAATAGGGTGGGTTAGACCTTGGTGCTATATATATCCGCATTGTTTAATATTTAATGGTGCTTTTAACTGGCGTAGTTTCGTGCACCGTTATTTCGCGTTCAAATGCGTTTGATGAGGGATTAATTTTGAGCTAGTAATACGTTCAATATTCATATCTAATGGTTGTAATATTTGTTCTGGTGAGTATAAGATACAAAAAGCCTTTCTAGTTTTTCAATTGAAATCAAATGAAATTATACTTTCAAAAACTTATAGGCGAAATGTTTTGAAAACATTCTGCGCTGAGCAGGGTCTCTATAATTGTACGGACATTTAGCGAAATAAAGCCAGTGAAATACTTCCCTGAATATTCGACATTTACACTGGAGTCAAATTACTATTAATCTGCAACTGAAAATTTCCAACCTAATTGTTTTTGAACTTTACAAAACAATCTCAAACATTTGATGGTCAGAAAACGCTAATGTTTTATGTAGTAGTCAGGGAACACGCAATTTGATGGGTTAGTCTAGCAGGAATGGCGAACCTTTTTAAAGAATTGGGTCGAAAATTATTGTTGTATTGTAGAAAAGAAGACTGTGATTCGTAGACAGGGTTGTCTAAAACGAATCAAATATTCGAATACATTTTCGGCTGATTTTCGAATAATATATAGTCTCTTTTCATCGTAAACGCGGTTTTTCGTTTTTGCGGGAATCTTCAAACGATTTTACACATTCATTTCCATTACGTCAAGAAGTTGAAGATTATTCAATGTCGTAATTGTTATGATACCCAATAAATTGTCGCAAGTCGGAAAACAAGTCGATTTATTAGAGGAAATAATCAATACTTTTTCCCGCTCATGGCAAATAATTTTGATAATGATATTTGAAAGTTTCGACTTTTACTGGGGATGATTCTCTGTTGTGCAAATTATTCATATCCATGACCGATACCAGCATATAAAATTATTATGCGTTATTAATTTAGTTTTGTTTAACGTAACTTATGGTTGCGCGACGACAATTTGTGAGCATAAAATGTGTAGTGAACTGCCCGATATTATTCATTTTTGATTCCTATTTTCGGATTTACTGAATAATAAAAGTATTATTACTCTGAAATCTACTGGAATTTGTGGACTTAAAATGTGTGGCAAGGTTGCCCGAATATAATTAATTTCTGATTCGTATTCACAAAATAATATTACTCAAAAATACACTACACGGACTTAAAATGTGTGGTAAAGTGCCCGAATATAATTAATTTTTTATTCGTATTTACAAAATAATAAAAACATTATTACTCCAAAATACAACGGCAATTTGTGGGCTTAAAATGTGTGGTAAAGCGCCTGAATATAATTAATTTTTGATTCGTATTTTTCAGACTCTTGGAAAAATTGTCCCAAGTCGGAAAAATAATTTATACTTTATCCCGCTTTTGGCAATAATTTGAATAATGGTTGGTATTTGAAGTATAAACTTTTTACCAGGATGATTTGTGTCATTCTAATCTTTTATCATTTGCGTTAGCTTTCTATTACTTATAACGTTTGTAAATTTACCGTCACAATATTAAGCGAACGGTGATATTATTATCGATACCGGGATGCAGATATTTATTAAGACAATACGTAATTAACTTTGCTATGCTTTTCTATGGTGTCTCTGTTACTTTACAGATAAACCTCGCAGAGCTGCGATTGCGTCAATCCCGAATGTTGATTTAAAATAGTGACTAAATAATTCGGCAATAAAGGCATTTCTGCGTGGCCATATGACGAGATGACGTTAATAAACAGCGCTTATTGAATAATAATTTGCATATGCGACCTAATGCTGAAAAATTGCGCTTTTGTACTTTTTGTGCCTAATAGATGGCCAGGCGCTATTTATAACTAACTCTTTCCAAGTTCCGACGTTTTCTTTCAACAAACCGCGCGGTCATTATAGCTAATATCGTTACCGAGTAATTCACAATTTTATTTACGGAATTTGCGAGTTCACTTTTACTTCTCTTGACA